CTGGTAACAGGAAAAAAAAGTGCTAAGGGAAGAAAGTTTCACCAAGAAGCCAGTGCTCAGGGGTTTCTGGTTGCCATAAAAGTGGGGAAGGGGGATGTGGACAAGAATGTGTGTGTGTGTGATTTGAGATGAGGGGTATGGGTATAGAGGCTTATGGTTTTTCTTCAGATCCTGTAAATGTTTTGCCTTTTACAAGTGTAAGGGTTTGTGGTTGTAATAGTTTATTGGGGTACAAGTCTGCAGAGATGCTATAGCCAGGAGGGACCAGTACTGGTGTTAGGAAGAGGACCCTCTCCTACTACCCTGGTAATGAATTGTCTTCTTCACTGCAGCTGCTAAGTAGAACCAGCCTGAGGTTCCAGATCTTGTCTGCTGCACTTCCACCTTCAGATAGGAGGGAGCTCCCTATGCCGGGGTCCTCATCCCTGGAGCAGGCACCAGGTTGGCACTCACCCTGAGGACAGCATGTGTCCCTTGGGCCTGGATGAGGCCTGGCTGGAAAAAGCCTTGGACTCCTGGCTTCTTCCAAGTCTTCGTGCTTCTGTTGCTGGTCCAATGGTGTGACTTGCTGCATTTGGTTCCTGGCACTTTCCCTAGGAACCTAGAGGATCTCTGGCAGTAGGAGGAGGAAGAAGACACGATGGAGGTGGGACTAGTGTCTGCATTGATGTCCATGAGCTGTCGACCTTGGAGTGGGTGATTCTCTTGGTAGGCCCAGGCCTCAGATTCTGAACTGGACTAGTCTTGTGCTTTGACTTTTTATGGGTGTCATGTCCACCGGGTAGAGCAGGCAAACCCAAATCTTACAGGGAACCCCCCCAGGTTGTGTCCTGCTAGGCTGGCCTGCAGGGTGCATACTGCCAAACCGGATATTAGAACATCGAGAAGCATCCTTACAGTTGGAAAGAGCTGTTGTCCCAAGTTCCCAGCATCTTCCCCCAGCCTAGCTCTCCCCTAAAGGTCACTCTGCACTTCACCATCCAGTAACTAAAGCAAGTAAATTTAACTTATTTTTGGTACGGGGGATCGAACTCTAGACCTTGCGCTTGTGAGGCAGGTGGCGGAACAATACAAGATTTTTGAGAACATAAAATATATTGCGGCTGAATGTGTTGGTACATGCCTGTAATCCCAGCTCTCGGGAGGCTGAGGCAGGAGGATTGCTATGAGTTTGAGGCAAGCCTGAACTACATAGTGACGGCCTAAATGAAAAATATATATCCTATATAAACATATATATCTTATATATGCATATATCCTGATATACTCTGTAATACCTACAATCAACAATAAAAATGTTTTTGTTTTTGTTTTTGTTTTTTCTTTTTCTGTTTTCTTTCTTCTTTCTTTTTCTTTTGTGCTGAGGTTCAAACCCAGGGCTTTAAAGCAAGCACTCTACCACTGAGTTACATCTCCAGCCTGTTATTTGTGATTTCTTTTTCTTTCTTTTAATTTCTATTTTTATTAGTGTATGTTTGCAGTACATAATGATTGCATTCATCACGGAGAGTTGTTACATATATATAACATTTCTTTCCTTCCTTTTCCATTCCTTCCCTTCTTTCCTCCTTCCTTCCTTCTTTCTTTCTTTCTCTCTTCCTCTGTCCTCCTCTCTTTCTCTCTTCTTTCTTTTGACAAACTTGCTATGTAGATATAGTCTAGGCCTTGAGCTCACAATCCTCCTGCCTCAATAACCTGAGCACTAGAGGATTACAGGCAGGTGCTTCCATACCTGGATAATATCTGTAATTTCCTTTTTTTTGGATACTGAGGATTGAACTCAGGACCTTATGCTTGCAAGGTAGGCGCAGTGCCACTGAGCTAAATTCCCAGCCCCAACCTGTGATTTCTTTTTTTTTTTTGGTACGGGGATCAAACTTGGGACCTTGTGCTTGCGAGGCAGGCGCCAGAACCACTGAGCTAAATCCCCGGCCCCAACCAGTGATTTCTAATGACAGAGTCACAGGTATTGCTAAAATTACTATGATTTATTGCTGACATTCATAATCAATGGAAATGTTAAATTTCAGGTAGAAATGAGTAAAAATAGAGATTTTTTTCCTCCAAGTTCACAGATTCACTAATCTTTTTTTTTTTTAAAGGAGTAAAAGTTTATTTAGCTCACAGTTTGTAGAAGTTTCAGTCTATAATTGGCTGGCTCCAAGGCAGGGTGGCTTGGCAGAGAGACTTGGCAGAAGAGAAACAGTTCATGGTGCCCACAAAGTAGCAAAGCAAGCAAAAACAACAAGGGACCTTAACAGCATCTTTCTGCCCCTTTTATCTTATCCAGACCATTGGGATTAGGGCGGTGCCAAATCTATCAGCGTAGTACTTTAGTAATCACATGCCTTTAATCCCAGCATCACACACTCTAGATTCAGCCACATGAGTCTTTAGGGGGACATCTGGACCCAAATTTAACATTCCAACCTTGGACCCCCAAAGACTCATGTGCATTCCTATACTCAGAAGGCTTTTAGTCCATCTCTAAGAGTTGCCAAAGTCCGAACAATTTCAATATTGCTGAAAAGTCTGTTTCCAAAGTCTCCTCTGAGATTTAAGGCGAATTCTTAGCTGCAAGCCCCTTCTGGTCTTTTGAACTCTGACCAGGAGATTCACTAATCTTAATCAATTTTAGAACCCTCATAGAATCCTTGAACAAAGGGATTAAATCCCCACAAAATAGGGAACTTGAGGAACCTGTATCCATTCCCAGTTGCTCACCCTAGTGGTTAAACATTGTTGTGGGGAAGGATGGCCAGCAGGGGGCAATATATGAGTGGGAGAGTGGGTTCATTTCCAGGTGGTGCTGAGGCCTAATACTAAAAGTTCCAGGGCTGGCCTGGTTCCATACAAATGAAAAAACCAGATTCAAAGTCCTATCTGGTTGCCTCCTGTCTTCTTTGCACTGGGAGGTCAGCCACACACACGTACTAAGTGGGTCCATGGGACAGAGGTCTGACTGAGGGCTCCTGCAGGAGATGTCCTCTGTTCCTCATCTAAGCTGGGGTGTAGGGCAGGTTTGTCTGAGTTCCCAGGTTCTGAGGGTCTGAGGCAATGAAGTGAATCCCTGTGAAATTCTCCTAGGGAGCACTTGCTCTGTCAAGACACAGGCCAGAGGGAGGCCAGGCAGGCCGGGTGCCGTTTCACCTGGGGGCTTGGCAGAAAGCCTTCTCCCTCTTCCTAGAGAGCCAAGGCCAGGCTGGGGGAGGCAGGTCTTCCACTTGGGTGTGCCAGCTGGCCATACCTTCCGCCACACCCTACTCTACCCTGGTTCCAGCTCTGGCCCCTGCCTTAGAGCCACAGGAGGGTGGGGTTCTATTATGGGATCGTGTGTAGAACCAGTAGGTGCTGGCTGGCCCTTAGGCCTGGCCCCCAGAAGAACTTTCCAAGCAGAGGGCCCACTTTCTGCTGCTCTGAGACTGAGGTTCAAATGTGTGCTTTGGCTCCCATATCTCCTATCCTTCTCAAGCACAGTTGTAGGGCTTCCCCTCAGGCTGCCTTTTGGTAACACCAGCCTACCTGGAGGTGATACCTGGAGGGGTGAGTCTGAAGTGGGATCCAGTGAGGCCCTGAGCCTTCAGACCCTTGCATCCTTTTGGAAGTACTGGTGGGGGCCCTGCCTGCCTGCCTACTCAGCCTTCACAGGCTGGTTAGGATGTCCTCCTAGATGCTAGACTCTTTGGATTTGGAAACTTCACAGTTCTGGGTGGGTTAGGAGTGACATCACAGGCCCAGGGCATCTATGACCATGTGCCCTGGCCTTTCAACTTAGGGAGGGGAGGTCCAGAAATGAAGGCTCAGTAGCTGAGACCACAAGGCACTTGCTTTATTGTTCCAGGACAGGGGACAATGGCAGGCCATTGAGGAATCTGCTTGTGCTGCACATGAATCTGGGGCCAAACTTTGGAGGGTCTTGTCACCCTCAGGCCCAGGGTAGGATGAGGATTCCACTTGGTGGGGCATGTCAGCCACCTGAGCCACACCTCCTAACTCCAGGGACATCCTTTGTTCTTCTTGAATGTCCTGGGTCTGCCAGTCAGGCAAAGAGAGAGGGCATAGGTGCTTCCCCACCATCCTGTGCCAGGCTTTCCTGCCCTGAATGCCCAGGTTGCTGGTGACAGTTGAAATAACTAGTAAGCTGGAACCTAAACTATGGGAACTTCTGTCTAGAGAAAGAGTAAGTTTGTGGTGACCTGGAGGAGGGGGCCCTTCCCACACCCAGGATCTGGAGAAGAGGACTTGTTCAAGTTTTCGAGGGCAAAGGCTTTCCAAACACTTTGTATTGGAATTGGGCTCAGTTTGCTCCTGGGGTGGACATTACCCCTCCTGTGTGTCACCCTGGCAGCAGCCAGACAGAGTATATACGCTGAGGCTGGGTGGAGCCTGGCAGAGCGGGCTCTAAAGGCAACATGGGAGAAGCTTTCCATCTTCTCCCTGCTGGGCTGTTGGGATGAAGACAGGAGAATAAATACAGGAGGCTTCTGGGGAAAAAAAATGACTGGAGGAGGCCAGGCCTGCCAGAGCATGTGGCAGTTAGGATGGGGTTCCAGGGGGATCTTTGACCTGGTATGGGGTCCTCAGCTTTGGTAACCAAAGCCCTTAGCTCTCAGATACCTCTGGAATGAACTCAGGCTCTCTGAGCTGTGGTATGGATTCCTCTAAGTGTAAGGCATATGGGCAGGTGTGTGTCTGAGCAACTGTGTGTCTGTGTGTGTAGGAGAGCTGAAGTGTGGACAAGTGTGGCCTATGGAGAATGCATTTGCTTCTTTCCAAGATACTTGCTCTCCAAGGGGCCCTGAGTGAGGAGCTGGATGACCCGGCAACAGAAATGTGTGAGGGGCAGCATCTTGGGTATTATCCTCTATACCCCAGCTGCCAGCCAACAAGTTGGCTGAGTGACATAGGGGACAGGTAGTATTTTCCTTCCTTGACCTTTGTTTTTTTTTGTGGTACCAGGGATTGAACTTAGGACCTTATGCTTTGTGAGGCAGGCGCAGTGCCACTGAGCTAAATCCTCGGTCCTTCCTTCCTTAACCTTCAAGGTGAGCCCGATATGGGCGACCAGCAGGGACTTCCAGACCAAGCAAAGGCTGGAGCTGATGTTGAGCACAATTCATGCCAGGGCCATGGGCTTGGAGCTGGGGCTGAGGTACACAGCAGGGCCAGAAGGGGCCGTGTGGGGTGTGGGCTCCAGCTCCATGAAGGCCGAGTAGAGGGTGGTGAGGGGCAGGTCTCCCAGGCCTCCGGAGTTCCCACTGCCTGGTGATGCCAATTCGCCTGCCCCACTGCCTGTCTCTGCCAGACAAGGCCCTGGAGGGAAGCAGTGAGGTGGTGGCAGGGGCGGCGGCATGGAGGATGATGTTGGGGACGAGGTCACCAGTACCAGGGGATCGAGGGCCAAGCTGTCATCTTTCAGCTGTTCCCACAGGTTTCCTGGTCAGGAGAGCAGGAGGAGAGAACAAGCATCACTAGGAGGCACCAGCGAAGTTCTCTCTGCCTCCCACCCAAGGTTATCACATGCTGCAGAGAGCAGGATTGGGGTGACGCTGGGAGCAAAACTAGCAGGACCTGTGTGACCCCAAGCAATGACTGATTCTCTCTGAGCTCCAGACTCCATGAAGCACCATGTGAAAGCCAAAGATCCAGATGACCTCTGTGGCTCTTTTGGGGTGGGGAGGAAGGACAAGGATTTGAGTGCTGCCTATTTGAAGGACTGATGCAAATTTTGTGCTCTTGGGATTAGCCATGGGGAACTCCCCAGAAACTCTTCATACTGGCTTCTGCCTAGGGTCCCAAGGAAGGTGGAACTGCAGCCCAGATGAAAGATTTTCCCACAGTGCACTGCTAGAACCAATGAAGTACATGAACATGGCTCCTGGGCCCTTTCCATTCCAAGGCCCAAGAGTTGTGAACAGAGGCAGGAAGCACAATGAACAGTGCTCTGAGGAGCAAGCAGTGCTGTTGCCTGACCCCTCTGTTTCTTTTTCTTTTTGGGGTGTGTGTGCCGGGGATCAAACTTGGGACCTTGTGCTTGTGAGGCAGAGGGTGGCACTGCTGAGCTAAATCCCCCGAGCCCTAATCCCTCTCTGTATTGTGCAACCTGCATCATGGCTGCCCTGGGCATCAGGGCTGCAGGGTCTGGAGGAAGAAAGCCTGACCAAACCCTGAATTGGCTGTAGCTGTCTGGGTTCCAATCTTCTTTATAGCTAAGTGACCTTGAGGAGGTTATATAATCTCTATATGCTTCTGTGAAATGGGTTTAATATTCTCTTGTGTTCTACATGTCCAGATGAAAGAGCAGATGAAGGCAACTAGATGATGCCTGGTAGTAGGGGCTCGAGTAGATGTTTATTGTATCCAACGTGTCCATGGCTTCCTCTGAGGCTGCTTGAGCCCTGCTCTCCACCTCTGGACTGGGGTGAGGATATTTATGAAGTTATTTCTAATAGAAGCTTCTCAGGCCCTGGGCTGTCTCTTCTTCAGATTGGGAGCTCCCTGAGGCAGGTTACCTCCAACTGCTTGTGGATACCCCTTACTACCCAGTGCACACAGAGTTTGAGGCTGGGTCAGTATCCCTCTCCAAACCTCTCAAGGCCAGCCTGGGAGCGCACTGCAGTTTAGGTGAGAATGGGAAGGAAGCTTGACTTTGTGCAGAGATGGAGCAGAACAGATAGGACCTCTCCTTGAATTTTTGTCCCCAAATCTCTCTGTGATCTTCCTAACTCTATGGTCTTACATTCCTCCAGCTCTGAGATCTTACATTCCTCCCTAGAGATATTTCTCTCTCTCTCTCTCTCTCTCTCTCTCTCTCTCTCTCTCTCTCTCTCTCTCTCCTGGAGCTCACTACATAGCCCAGGCTGTGGTCCTTGGACTCATGTTGATCCTCCTGCCTCATCCTCCCGAGTGCTGGGATTACCAGCATGTGCCACCATATCTGGTAAGGTTTTTTTTTCTCTGCATTAAAGTGTGTACAAAAATGCACATGCTTCTAGAAATGCTCAGCCTGCCAATCATTTGTAATCACGTGTTAGATTAAACACAGCTCTTTCCAGCCTTGCCAGAGCTGAGATCAATTTGATGATGCATTGGTTAGAACATGCTCAGGGCACCAGGTGGAGGAAAGTGGGTCAAGGAAATCCTCCTCACCCTGTGCTCCGGATGGCAGAGAGGAAGTGAGAAGCTGGACACTTACTCTGGGCTCTGCTTCAAGTGACTAGAAACCGATTAGCTAATAGCCAGCAGCCTGGAGACTTGGTGAGGCCAGGCCACACTGCCAGTGCACCCCTCCTGTCCTGTCACACCTCCCCTTTCCCATCCCCAGCTCACCCTGGAAGTCAAAGTCAGTGAGAGAGGGGTTGATGGCATCCAGGTCAGTACCAAGGTCTCCATCTGGCAGTAGGGTGTCAGGCATGGTCTTGGCTGGGGAAGGCTCAGCCAGCAGCTTGGCACAGTTGCTGGGTGGGGTGTGGGCAGGCAGAGGTGAGTCCTGGGGGGTGCCTGGCTGGGCACGCAGCTCAAGGTGCCCTTCTGGCTGCGGGAACAGTGGTTGCTGCAGGGGTCCGGGAGGGGCCAGGCCAGGTGAGAGGTGAGGGTATGTCTGCCCATAGCAGGGGGGTGAATGATCCCCAAGTAGGTCCTGCAGGGGATTCTTGCCAGGAACAGGGCCTGGAGCTGGATGGATGGAATGCAGTGGCTGAGAGAGCCCAGGTGGGGGTGCCAAGGGCCTGATGGGGCCTGTGCCTCCCAGCCCGGGGGGTGGACAGCCCAGCAGTGGGGAGCCCAGCTTCTCCCTCTTGTCTCCAATGAGGCTGTCCAGCTCTTCTGGAAAGACCCAAGAAAGAAGAAACATCATGAGATCTCCCTCCTCCACTTGAGGTCTCCCACCTTGGACCTCACTCAGGCCCTGACCCTGTTCTTTTTGGCTCACGGGTCCCCTGGCTCCTCCCTTGAGTGGCTTGGCCAGCCTCACCTGGCTTGGCCATGCTTTTTCGCACAGCGATGGGGTCCTTCCTCTTCCACTTCTGCAGCTCCTCCTGCATCTTGTCAATCTTGGCTGGATTGAGGGCCCACAGGCAGCCCTTACGAGAAGAACTTCCAGATTTGTTCTCTACCTTCTCAAAGCACTTGTTGAGGGATAGGTTGTGGCGGACAGAATTCTTCCAGCCATCAGGTGCTGTCTGCTCAAGCAGAGCAAAGTAAGAATTTAGACTGAGCTCGGGCAGCAAGACCTGCTTCCAGGTCTGGACTCTAGAATATTCCTTGCACCCTCCAGGGACAGAACTGCTGCCTCCTCAGCACCCTGCACATGTGTGGCACCTTCAGTGCTGGGGAAGTGGCAGGCAGGAACTTTAACCACACCTTTTTTTTTTTTTTTTTTACAGTATTGGGGATTGAACCCAAGGCTTTTGTACTGAATTCCATCCCCCGTCTTTTTAAAATTTTTTATTTTGAGACAGGATCTCACTAAGTTGCTCAGGCTGGGCTTGAACTTGTGATCCTCCTACTTCAGTCTCCCAAAGTGCTGGGATTACAGGCATGTGCCGCCACACTGGGCTTACCATATGCTATTTTCACCTGAAATCTGCCTTCTTCTCATCCTGTCCTTGGCCTGACCCTTCAGAGGACCATGAAGTGATTCCTAAAGAGAGGGCTGGTGGACACGATAGAGGGCTTTTGGCCCACACACCCACCAAAGTGGGACCAGGCCTACTGGCCGCTGTGGGCCCTATGTGGAAAGAACACTTCAAGGTGTCCTGTCCAACTGTAGAGAAGGAATTAGGGGAGGCTGTGGAAAGCTCCTCTCCTGGGTCTGTCTCCTCTTTAGGGCAAAGTTGGGAGAACAGAAGGACGGGTGAGGCTGGTGAGTATCTGGGTGTGTGCTCATGTTGCACGTACATTTGAGCATACACCTGGGTGTTGGTGCATGGGGGGACAGCACGTGTGAACACACGCCTACATCCCTAGGCATGTCTGCCCTGTGTGAGCCGCAGCTCCTTGGTACAGGTCTGTGAATTCCTGAGTGTGGGGATGAATGAATGTGCAGCTGGGGATGGCGGTGAGAAAGCCTCTCTGGGTATGTGTGTGCGCATCCAGTCACCTCAGTGTGTGGGTGTGTGTGCGCATGAGTGTGCCTGGGGGGCGTGCCCTGGTGGGGAGGCCAGCCCTCAGGCAGGGGGTGCTCGTGCCAACAGAATAAACACCCATTAGGAGGCCCGGTCATGCCACCAGTGCAGTAATTGTGCCCAGGGAGGGTTGTAAAAACCATTAGGCTGACTCAGTTGGTGAGAGGCGGTGGCGGGGGCACAGTGGGCCTCCCACCCCCCTCTCCAGCTCTGTTCCAGGCTCCATGATGGCCCTGAGCCCATCAGGGGCTGACTGAGGGGAGAGGTGCCACTCTGGCCCCTGGGACTTCTTCGTCCTCATCCCCCAGCTCCTCTCCCTTTCATACCATAGTTTCTGGGTAGTGAGAGGTGGCCACTCCCTCCTTCCCAGCTCACTTGCCCCAGGGAGCAGCCAAGCTGAATCACGCCCAGTAGAACTGGGACCTGATGCCAGCATCACTGCAAGTTGCTGGCAGCAGTTGTTGGAGCCTTTCTTGGGGACAGCTTCCAGTGTCACCAGGCAGGATCCTTGAGCCACTAGACCAGACTCCAACTCCTACAGCACTCTCCACTAGGAGTCAAGGCTATGTCGCCCCATGGGCAGCGTTAATGGGCACTGGGGCATTTTCTAGCCTCATAAATCTGTAACTTGAAGATTCTAGGGCAGCTCCTACCCCAGCCACTTCCTGTTTGGAAGAGGAATGGTCAACACTAACAATTATGTCCAGTGGCTGGACACTTCCCTAGTCCCGCATCCCTGACTCACTGGGCTACAGGATGCCCACGTCAGCTGCCTTTGTCCCTGTTAGAAAAATGACCTCCAAATGTGGAGTGAGAGAAGGAAAGGGTAGGGGACCTTTGAACTAATTCCTCAGGTGGATCAGAGTGGGAACTGTTGAGCTGGGAGGAATCCATGTGCCAGCTGGTCTAACCCGACCATTTTACAGATTGAGAAACAGAAGTCCAAAGAAGAGAGGGTCTATCCCTGGGTCACACAAGGAAGCAATGGAAGAGCCTAGACTCCAGCTCTGTCCTCTAACTAGGGGCCCTAACCAGGTCACGGCACAGGGCCTGCCTCGGTTTCCGGGTCTGTTCCCTCCTCACGGATGCTGTCTCTCTGAAGTCAAATGTAAACTCAGGAGCAAGGGAGTGAGGCAACTGGCTTAGAACAACAACTAGAACCAAAAAAAAAAAAAAGCTGTTAGACCTCTTTGCTCTTCAGCCCCATAAAACCGGGATTACACGGCTCCCAGGAAAAATAATTAAGCCAGGCAGAGGAGATACAGGGAGGGGCTGGGGGCCAGGCCAGAAGTTGGCAGGGAGGGAGGCCCAGAGGTATAGGGCAGGGCCTTCGTTTCCTTTTCTCCAGCCTGGCCCCTTGAGGCCCTGGAGGGCCCTCCAACAGCTTTGGGATTAGGGAGAGTTGGGTTCTCTGACCTGCCAGAGTATGGGACAGCCTAGGCTTTGATGCTTCTTGATTGCCAGAGACAATTGCCTGCCTTTTCTTCTCCCTTCCAGAACCTCTGTCGGATCAACATTCTTTTTTTTTTGACAGTACCAGGGATTGAACTCAGGACCTTGTGCTTGCCAGGCAGGTGTGGCACCACTGAGCTACATTCCCAACCCAAATTTATGGGGCACAATGTGTTGCTTTTTTTTTTGCTACTGGGGATTGAACTCAGGACTTTGCACTTTGCAAGGCAGGTGGGTGAACCACTGAGCTAAAATTCTGGCCTGGATCAACATTCTTTTCCACTCCTGGGCAGACCACTGTGACCCTCTGGCCCATCCCCATCTGGTGGCAGCTCAGCCACCATGGACATGAGCTGCAAATTATTCCCAGGCCGGACAGTTGGGTAGATGGTAGGGGCAGAGTCATCCACTGGCAGGTGGAGCTGAGTTCCAGGTTACTTGGACCTCAGTTCCTGCTCTCTCCCTGGGTAGCAGGTGAGATTTTATCCATCAGGGTGAACGTTGTGGAGAAGATGACACTCCTCAGACACAAGCTCCAGCCTCTCCTGCACCCCTCCCCCCAGAAGAAGGGATCTGTGCAGGAGGGTCTAGGGTGAGCACCATGCATTAAGGGGAAGACAGTGGTGTGTAAACCCGAGCAGCTTTGCCCAGTAACTGAGCCCACCTGCTGTGCAATCTTGGGCAGACAGACTGCCCTCTCTAATATATTTGCCCATTTGAGGATGGGGGACCTGTGCTGCCCCTATGGAGGGAGTTGAACCCCCAGAGTCCTCTTCTGTGACTGATAGGAACTAGATCCCACACAGGGATGAGGGCAGAGTCAAGTGGGCCAGCGGCACCCCAAGACGATGAAGCTCACACCCCACTCTCTGGGAGAGCTGCAGCTGAGCCTGCCGCCCACAGATACAGATCCTAATCTCACCTGGGAAGGCAATGGGTTCTTTTGCCCTAGCATCCCTTGTCACCTCACTGGCCAGCTCCTCCTGGACTCCCTTCAGCCTCACAGCATCCTGGGATAAGGTTGGGGACAGACTCTCATTTCTCCTCCAACTTCCTCTCCTTGCTCCAGACCTGGCTGTAGGCTGCTGCATAACCTGGGCCGAGTAGCTTGAACTCTCTGTCTCCCACACAGAGCCCCTCCTTTAGGAACTCTGTGTATTTACAGTGGAGACCAGGGAAAGTGTGTGTGGGCCACTCCCCGCCCCCCCAACTTTCATCCTAACTCTTCTCTAACCTCAGGGCAGAGCCCTCTGGCTTGTCCAGGGTGTGAGGTGGTGGTGGGAGATGGGTCTTGGACTCACCTTGAAATAAGGGAAGTGCTCTGTCATAAAATTGTAGATCTCGCTCACAGGAAGGCTTCCAGTTTTACTGTTCTTAAGGGCCATGAAGATGAGGATGCTGAAGACACAGAGAACCCCTGAGAGCCTGAGTCTTTGACCAGAACCTGAGCCCCCCACCCCCAGAACATCCCCTCTGGTGAGAGGCTCTGTGAGGTTGAAGTTGAAAGGAGAGGGGATGAGAAAATGTCCCGGAAGTAGGCAATGAGGTCAGGAATTACAGATATACAAGGGTCTCGTGGAATTCGAGAAACCAAGGTTGCCATCTGACTCAGCCACATACTAGCTGTGTGACTTTGGGAGAGTGCCTCAACTTCTCTGAGCCTCTGTTTCCTCAGCTTTGAAGTGAAAAAAGTAATAGGTACCTTAGAGTTGTGAGGACGACTGATGGATGATGCCTCACACATAGAGAAGCACTCATTACACAGAAGCTGTCATTATTGCCAGCTGGTCCTCAGCCCGGACAGAGGGAGGGAACCAGGAATCGGTCCCTGTGGTGTGGTGGGCACTCTACCTCCTACATTCTTTTACTCAGTCCTTCCAACAGAATGAATCGCTGTCCCTGATCTTTTTTTTCTCCCCCAGATGAATAAACAGAGGTTGAGAGATGAAGTAACTGCCTGAGTTTCACAGCTAGTAAATTCCAGAGCCTGGTGTTGAACCCAGCTCTGCTCAACTGCAAGTCCTGCCTTCTGCCTGCCCCTCTCTCTGCTCCTGGCTGGTTTTTTGTTTTTTTTTTTTGTACTGGAGATTGAACTCAGGACCTTGCGCTTGTGAGGCAGGCAGCGGAACCACTGAGCTAAATCCCCAGCCCTCTCTGCTCCTGGCTGCTGTGTGAGTTCCTCATCCTCTCATTAGTTGAGGATCTGACTTCTCCTTGGGACCTGGCACACAGTAGGTCAAGTGTCACTGTTGACTGGATGAATGAAAGGACAGATGGAAGGGCCACCCAGACAGGCTGCATGGGGCTGGCATTTAAAACTCCAGCCTCAGGGAAGACCCACCAGACCCAGCAGATGGTGGGTAACAGAGTCACATCAGCTGTCTCCAGCCCTCATTTGTTTCCAGTAGAACATCGGAATGAGGCTCTCTCCCTGATTCTGGGACATGGGGGCCGGCAGTGAGCATCCCCCTTAAACTTTAGTCCCAGGCCCTGAGGCCCAGGAGATTGGACCTCTGGAGGCTCACTCAAGGCACCAGCATCTGACAAGTCAATCCAGAGAAATGACTCTCCAAGATTAGAGGAGAGATCAGAGGTCAGTTCACCTCCTGTCCCAAGCAGAAATCCTTCCCAGCATCCTTTGGAAGCCTGCTAGTATGTCCTCCACCTGCCACTGTTATCCTTACACATGAAGGATGCTATGCCTCAGTTTTCCCTCTCACCCCTCCTTTTCTGCCCCAGAGGGCTGGGAGATGTACCTGTAGGAGTAGATGGGCTTGGGGAAGAGCGGCTGGTGCCCATCAGCGCTAGCCTGTGGTGCAATCCGCTGGTATGGATAGTGAGAGGAGCCCAGGTAGGGAACAGGGTAGCTGCCACCAGCTGGTGAGTACTGCAGATAGAGGTAAAGGGGGCAGAGTGAGCAATTGCCATAGAATTCAACTTTCCAAAGAGGTGACTCCCCTCCCCCTTTCATATACATCCAGAGAAGGAGCCAAGACTACATTTGCCCCTTCCTGCATGGGCTCCATCACTCCCACAGCCGAGCTGTCTGGCAGGTGGCCAACAGTGTGGACATCTGAGGGCCCGGGAGGAGGTCCACATTCTGGAACTCAGACTCCCAGAGGCCTCAAAGTTTCCTTCTTCCCAATCCTTCCTCTCAGCCCTTTAGGTACTCTGGTTGCCTTGGTGATGGAGTGGCTGGAGTCTGGCAGGGCTGGAGAGAATCAGGAACAGCCAGAGGCCCCTGTATCCTTCTAGGCTGGTGCTCCAGGCCTCTCATGCCTCTCCTGGAGTGTTGGGCTGGAAGTAGGATGTCCAGCCTGGGCGTTTGTTTGCTGGGCACTGCCATCTTTTACAAGTTTCAGTGGCTCTTTGAAAGAGCTGGTCATGGTGGTGGGCAGGTGGGGTAGGAGGTGGTTTTACGGCAAAGGGAGTGGCTGCAGTGCCAGGGATGGAGTTTTATGGGGGAAGGGGGTAGGAGACTCTGACTCCCCCAGGTGCTCCAAGCTGAAGTGCTCTTTCCAGGTCACCGAGAGACACTTAGTGCCTGAGTCACCCTCTCTTCAGGCTCCATAAAGCCCTGGGTGCGGCCATCTTGTTCGAGGAGGGTGTGTAGACTGCAGAGGGCATCAAAGCAGGGCTAGGCACGGTGAGGCCATTTAAGGTCTGGTGGCCCTTCGTTCTGTAGTAGCTCAGTTCCTGATAGAGCAGGCTGCCTTGAGAACATTCCTCATCTGGGTATGACCAGGACTCTCAGAATAGCTCAGCCATTGCAGCCAGGCCCTTCATGGAAGCGAGGATGTTCCCTCATGCCTTGTGTTCTCTTGTTCCCCTCTGTCTCTTTCCCTCACACAGCAGACTATCTCCCCCCCGCAGGCTCCTCAGCTTGGACAAGATCAGGGCCAATGCCAAAGAGCTGGGAGTAGAACCTGCTCCACAGGCAGGGCCTGTCTCGGTGCCAGGCTGCAGGTGGATGGAGCTGGGTGCTGGGCAGTCACTTGCTCTGTCTTGCCCGGTGACTCCAGGGAGCTGCTTGGCTGCACTGGGTTCTTCTTTTTTTCCCTCTTTTTAAAAACCTCATCCCTTGCCCATGTGGGGCAATTTTTTGGCATCCTGCACTTTTGGGAGGGGCCAAAGCTGGGCAGTAAGGTAGGGAAAGAGCCAAGGATGATGAGGGCTTGAAGCCTTCTGGGGTGGGGTTCCATGGAGCCCTCACCCCACACCAGGTACCCACCCTCTCTAGGCCAAAGGGAAGTATGAAGCCAAGGTCACACAGCAAGATGGACCTAGATGGGGGCTCCTTGTTCCCTGCCCTGCTTGGCTTTGTGTGTCACGACACATACTGCTTTTCTCTCTGGTCTTTCTTTCTGGGGTAGCTGCCGTCCTCCTTCCCTTTTTGGTTTGTAACATGGCCCTGCCTTAGTCTTAGCCCTATTCTCACTTGAGACCTGTCAGGCCCCACTGGGGATTCAGACGATCCCTGACCGCACCTAGAGAAAGGCAAGTGCTTCTCATCCCATTAACCACTGCCCCCCACCCTGGGTGGCCCAGCTTGAGGTTCAGGGCCCTGCTGCCTTCACCCGCCCACTGAGGTGTGCACACACACCCACGTGCACACCTCTGCGCCTGACACCTCATGCACCCATGCAATGTCTTTAGACCCCTGGGAAGCATGCCCACTTGCCCCAGCCCCACCTGGTGGAAGGGTGGCTGGGAGGGGCAGTACATGTGCTGCAAAGGGGGCTGGTAGCAGTACATTCCAGGACCACTCTCCAGAGCTGGGGGCTTGACCTTGACCTCTGACCCCTGCTGGAAGAGAAAGGAGATGATCAGGTTGGGCCTTATTTTTCTCCCCTTCTCTTTCCATTGTCCTGAACATCACACAAAAAGCAACCCTTCTTCCTCTTCCCTCCCCTAAAGTTTAGTCCTGAAGAGCAAACTGAGAACAGAAAAGGGCAAGGATTTCCCCATAGGAACTCAGCAAGTTGGTAGCAAGTTGGTGGCAGAACTAAGGCCGGATCCCATAGTATTTATTACATTCCACCTCACTGCAGGTGAGAGATTGAGGGGCCATCCAGAGAGGTGGCAGAGACTTATTGATGGTCATATTGAGGGTGAACAGGGCCAGAGAACTTTGTGAGGTTCACATGGCTCCTCAGGGCCTACCACAGAGGTCCATCCTGAACAGGGACAGCAGTGGGTGCAGCTAGGTCCTGGAAGGTAGAGAAGCCCAGGGGGAGGTGGACTGCTCCTCCTGGTGTTACCAGGGGCCTCCGGAAATCAGCATCCAGGCCTAGAGAGGCAAATCAGCCTTGACCTCTTTATGGGTGTGCCCTGGGGTTGCTGATGGAGAGATTGCCATAATCACAGAATCTCAGGCCTGGAAGGGCCAAGAGCACTTGGGTGCAACCCCTTCATTTGACAGATGACAGGGCTGAGCCCAAGGAGCAGGAGCCATGTGCCATAGGTGACCCAGTGAATTGACCTGAGCTATGGGTCTCTGGTCCTGAGCTCTTCTCCATGAGGTAGGGTAAAAGTGTGGAGTCAACCTCAGCCTCACCATTTACAGGCTAGGGATACCTTGGGCAAGTTGCTTTACTTGGCCTTCATGAGCCTCAATTTCTTCCTCTACAAAATGAGGGTAGCAGAAACTTTCTAGAGGAAAGAAAGTACCTGGCAGAATGGCCAGGAGCTGGTACTGAGTGGACAGTAGTTGAGGGCAGTAGTTGATATGATGGTGCCCTCAGTGTGGCTGCTGTCATGTTCCAGAACCTGAGAATTTGGAGAATCAGGATAATGTTCTAACCTTGGCCATACCTGATAGGTGTCCATCTGCCTTCTCTATCTTCTTGGGGAGAGACTTGGGGATAGAATGGGGGCCTGTTTGAAAGCAGAGGTAAGGAGGACATCTGGAGTAGGCACAGTCCAGGCTGAGCCTACTCAGTCACTGCCTTGGGGACCTCCAGGACAGAGCTGGGAGCGGCTGGGGATTTAGCTCAGTGGTTCCGCTGCCTGCTTTGGAAGCGCAAGGTCCTGAGTTTGACCCCCTTTACCACCAAAAAAAAAAAAAAAAAAAATCCAGTGACAGAACAGAGCTGGGAAGGGGTAAGCAAGGTCCCTTTAACTTCCCAAAGCAACAATCCTGCCGGTCCTGATGGCAGATGCCTGTAATCCCAGCATTCAGGAAGCTGAGGCAAGAGTATTGCTATGAGTTCGAGGCCAGCTTGGGCTACATAGTGAGTTTGAGGCCAGCTTAGGCTACATAGTGAGTTCAAGGCCAGCCTGAACTGCATAGCGAGACCCTGTCTTAAACAAACAAACAAACGAACAAACAAAAAACCCACAAAAAAAGCAACAAACCAACCAAAAAACCAAAGCAACAATTTTATGAGGTATGTACCCTTAATTTTACTTTTCCCATGAGGCTCAGAGAGGTTAAGTGACTTGCCCAAGGTCCCACAGTGGCAGGTATAACTGTAGAAGGATATGCTGACCTGCCAATGTGCTTTCAAGGTATTTCTATGAATATACCCAGGCCCCATTCTGGGCAAAGAATAGAGCTGGGAAGGGCCCCTTGAGATAATTTAAGTTTTACAAAATCTCTCAACTCTGTACACTGATGCTGAGGCTGTGGCTCCTCCCTAACCCTTTTCTCTTGGCCTCTGGAATGTATTTTTCTTCTCACATTTGCATATGGGCGTGTTGGTCTGGCTGGGGTTTCTTGACACTTAAACAAACAGAGAAGTCACACTCCGAAATCCTGACTCAGGAGCCTCTGGGAAGCTACCAGCTTCCTTCGCCTGACTTGCCTCTACTGCCTGCCCCCTCCACACCCCACCAGACCAGCATCCCTTCCCCAGCTGACCAGCAGGTCCAATATGGAGCCAAGGGGCCCAACTCTCTGAGCTTGCTACTTGCTCTTGAGACTCAAGGTCTAAGAAGGGAAGATAGGGACTTTGATCTCAGAGAACACTTTCTAGGCCAACAGAAACCAAGGCCTGAGTGGTACTCACCAGGACTTGGCTGTGCTCCTGGCCGGGATAAGGGAGTCCATTGCACCAGGCCTCTGCCACAAAGCCAGGCGGGAAGGCCTCGGCCTCCCCCACATCCACGGGGATCTCCTCAAAGGCCTCCAGGGACCCCGGGGTCTTAAAAGAGTGTCCATCAAGGGCCAGGGCAGTCTGGGCCTCTGGGAAGATGTCTTCGTGGAAATGCCGCTTGTACGGGTGGAAAGGCAAGTGGTTGCCCTTGAGGAAGAGCCCAGGGCTGCTCGCTGGGCCCTCTTCAAAGCTGAAGCCAGGATACTTGTCTGAGGGTGAGAGTCGGAAGGGCCCCAGGGCAGAGCCAGCTGGGCAGTGACCCTGGAGTTGCTCAGGACCTGGTGATGCAATGCTTGGGCTGTGTGGGGGCAACGAGGGTGCCCTCTCGGGAGGGCCTTCAGGCACAAATGATGAGCAGCTGAAACCGGCATGCTTCTGGGTAGACAGAGGGTAGAGAGTCCATCAGTGAAGGTGGGACCAGGTCATGTTACCTGGCAGGATCCTATTGTGTGCTGGGGCAAAAGGATCTATGGCTGAGCTCTGGGAAACCCTCAAATGATGGAAAAGACACAGCCTGGTCTTGGAAGGCTGATGAGGACATACTGCCCCTAAACCTGGGGTGCCCCAAGGCTGATGGAAAGCCCAGAGTGAAGGGATGAACAGGGGCTAATGTCTGAGCCCCTTGGATCTCACAGTCATGAGGCACTTGTTTGCTGGTGGAAGGGATAAGAGTACTAGGTACTTACGCTCTGTGGGGCAGGGGAGCCAGGGAGGCCCGGAGCCTGCATCAGGTCCCCTTGCGGCTCCCCTTCCAGTCTGGTGGGGCCCGGCAGTGCGATGTCAGACTGAGGCGGGAGTAGTGAAACCATCACCCAGTCCTGGCCTTGAAGAAATGTGGCTGTGATAAGAATGAGGACCAGCGTCTAGGGGAGACCAATTCCAGGTCCACCACATCCCCATCCCTAGCTCCACTCCCACCCCATCCCTGGACTGGGAAGTAAGAGAGGTGACACTGATAGAGAGCACAGTGAGCCAGGTGGGAGTCCTCAGAGGAGGGGTCTTGGCAGTACTTGGCAGCTGCAGAGATCCCAGTTTCTAGTGAGACCCTGAACCTGGCTCCTTGTTTTTGGTCTCCTGTGTCTACAGTGAAGGCCCAGGCTAGGTGATTCCATTCAATGGCTCAACAGGCCCTGAGAGGAGGGAAGCCAGGAGCAGGTCAAGCTTAGGCCTGAGGTGGGAGCAGCCCCAGTGATGCAGAGGCTAGGCCTGCGGCGTGACCATAAGGGCTCTAGCCTGGCTGGCTCCAGCCTGGAATTCTAGTAGGAGAACCCTGACCCCAGCACAGGGGAGTGATTATGAGGCCAGGCTCAGCTCTTCTTCCCTAGCTGAGTCGGCAAAACTCTCTGCACTTCAGCAGCAGCATCTGGAGCACAAGGTAAGTGATAGGAACTAGTTCATAGGGCTGTTGTGGGTATGAGATGAAATCACACGTAGGAAGTATGGGTTGAAGTACTGAGCACAGGGTAAGTGCTTGATATGTGCTGGTTTTCAGAATTAATACCATTATCAGGATAGTTCTTACTATCATCGTCTCCATTCTTTGCTTTCCCTCAGTGTCTGTTACAGGCAGGGCCTCTCGAATTCACTCTCCATTACCCCAGTGATCTCTGATTAAAAACTACAATTTGAGCTGGGTGCAGTGGTATATACCTTTAATCCTAGCATTCTGGGAAGCTGAGGCAGGAGGATTGCAAATTTGAGCCCAGCTCGGGCAACTTACTACCTTAGTGAGACCCTGTCTCAAAATAAAGTAATAAAAAAAGGCCTGGAATGTAACTCACTGCAAAGGCCCTGGGTTCAGTCTCTAGAACTGCAAAACAAAACAGAACAGAACAAAACCCCAACAACAAAAAACTTCAGTTTGCTGACAGTCTGCTCTGGGCTGTCTCCTGTGTGAATGCTTTGGACGATTTTCTCTTTGGTGTATCAGAACAAGCCTGTGAGAAAGGTATGTTATTCCTTTCAAAAGGGAAAACTGAGGCTAGCCCAAGTCACACAGCTAATCCCTGACAGTCAGAACTGGAACTGAGGCTTGGCTAATTCTGCAGTCTGTACTCCTCTTATGGTTTCTTTATTTGGCATGGGTCAGAATCTAGTGGAATACACTGGGGGCCCAGGCAGTGACAGAAATTCGAGGTTTACATTTGTCCTTTCTACCCACAACCCCCTCACCAGAGCAAGGTGGTCAGGGGTTGAGACATCTCTGCTGAATAAACCATCGCCTGTGTTTGACACAGAGACAAGGAGGAAAGGGAAGGCATTTGCCCAAGCTTCCACAGGGGATCAGCCCGGGACAGAGCTGATAGCTGGGGACAAGTGGGGGCCGGGTGGGAAGCTCTCCCGCCCCTTCAAGAGTCCCCACCGCCCCTTCTCTCCCCGTCTCGATGTCCCGGGTGCCTGCTCACTCGGCAATGCTAAATGTGGCGTGACGAGGAAGCGCCGAGCTGGCCGTAACTGGACACCTCCAGGGAGCAGGCAGGGGGCCTGAGGTATGAGGCAGCCCATCTTTGGCTCCGCATGACCGCTCCGGCCTGGCCCTTGCTCCCTCGACAGCTCCTCCTGGACAGCTCAGGCCTGCCTACCACTCCTCTCCCGGCCCAGAGCCGCCTTCCCGGGAGGTGGTGCTGCTTGGCGCTTTCCCAAGGCGTTCCTAGCCCCTTCAGAGGCAAGGCTGGGGCCCCCTCCCTCCAGATCTCCAGCTTTGTAACCTGGAGGGGACTCCCCTCTCTGGAGGTGAGTGGGATAGCATAGTGGTCAAGGGCAAATGTTTGGATTTGGGCTGACATGACTTTGAGTTTTAGTCTTGTCACTTTCTGGGTATGGGACTTCAATCATACCATATAACTCTCTGCATTTCCCTTTCTTCATCTGATAAAAGGGGCACACGGACCCACCTCATAGTCCTCATGAGGATTAAGTGAGACGTATAAGGTGCTGTAGAAAATGCTCAAGGACACAAGTTTTACATCTGGCCTCAGTTGGCCCAATGTGGCCTCTGGCCCCAGGCTCTACAGTTCTCTGATGGTCTTGCTGCTTCAGGCCCGGTAGTCCTGTGGAGACTGGCTAATGACCCACGCCCCATGATTGCTAGTCCTCCCTGCCTGCCTGGCTTCAGGAGGCTTGGACCCCAGCCCTGATCCTTTGCAAATGTGAACCAAGAGAGCCTCCCTGAGCTCCAGCTCTGGCCTGCTTGCCTCCAGAGGTCTGCCATTCCCAGAAGCAGCCCAACAGTGCCTACCTCACCTATGCTTGGCCCAGTCCCTGTTCACAGGGTCAGTTTTCTGTAAGCCCTGGCTGAGTTCCTCCACATCAGAGGGCTTCCACTCACAGCCATGACTTTCATACCCTGGCTTGGCCACCCCACCATCCCACCTCCTCCAAGCTCTTGGGGACAGGATAAGAACCTGGGAAGTTTTACAGAGCTCAGAAACCTGACCCTTAATTTGCACTGAGGATCCAGAAATCCCTGAGTGGTGCTCAGTCCAGGATTTTCCCTGGGCAAACTCTGTGAATTATGATTCCTGGTCGAGGGACCATGGTACACCCTCCCGCTTGGTTCCCAAAGCTGAAGCTCTATTCATTTGACAAACAAGAGAAGAACTAATTTGCCTAAGGCCACATTGCCCAGGAAAGAGGAGATCCTCCACAAACTGCATTCAAAAGGGTCCTCCAACTAGACATTGTAGCACATGCCTGTAAACCCAGCACTTGGGAGGCTGAGGCAGGAGGATTGTCATGAGTTCGAGGCCAGCCTGGGCTACATAGTGAATTCAAGGCAAGCCTGGAATACATAGTGAGACCCTGTCTCCAAAAACACACGAAACCAAACCAAACCAAACCAAAATGAAAAGTCCTCCTGCCTCAGGGACAGGGCAAAGAGCTGCTGATGGGCATATATGGGGTGTAGGGAGGTGTTTGAGCACAAAGAAAGGATCACTGTGTGGAAAGGGAGAGCCTGCCTGGCCCCAATCCCTCACTGGAGCAGCCAGCAGAAAGCTCTTGAAGCTGGATGAACTGGAGTTAGCACTGCATCTGAATCCTAATTGTTGTGAGAATTTGGTTGGACAAGTTGTTTAACTTCCTTCCCTGGGCCTCAGTTTCCTAATCTGTAAAATAGGGCTAATAATACATACCTCTCTGGAGGATTAGATGAAATATTGCTTGTAAATAGCTTAACACACAGTATGTGCTCAATAAATGATAGCTATTACTAATAATTAGCAGTGGGACAGAGTTAATTTAAGGCATGAGCTCTGGGGGTGGGGAAGGGAGTGCAGAGAGAACTCCCCTTTCCTGTCCTCTCCTGTCTCCCATTACTGTCTCTGTTATATCCCCGCCACCCTACGCAAGGAGTCAAGAACTCTCTTCTTGACTTGGTCTCAGATGTCATTTCAGTTGTTTCCCTGCAGTACAGACAGTGCCTATGGAAACTCCCAGGAAATGGAGCAGGAAAGAGGGGTGACCCTGTTGCTTTGGGTCCCTCAGGAAGCCTCCATGATGTCCCCAGTGGCATCTGCATTCAGAAGGAGTCTTTCATTGCCATCTAACCTTGAGCCTGCCTGTTCTGGTCTCAGGGAACACAAAGTGATCTGTGAACAAATATGAGTGAAACAAAGTTCTCCTCTCTTTCCAGATCCCAGAACCAGCCCAGAGAACTCCATGGCCCACAGCCTGCCCCCTGCCTGGGCTGGAAGCCAGGGCTCTCAGGGTGGACAGTGTCCTCAAGTCCCTTGGACTATAGGAACTGTGATCATCACAGCTCCACATCTTTAAGGGCACTCTGCAGTTCACTTTGCACTTTGGTATCATCACTTGTTACTGCTTACCCCTCCCCACATGCAGTTGGTGGACAGTTGTGCCCACCTCTTCCTAATTCCATGTCCAGTAAAATTGGGCCAAAAATTTTTAAAGAGTTGATTGATGAACCTTTACCAGCACATCACAGGTAGGGAGGCAAAGGCAGTACCTTCATTTTTCAGGGGAAATAATTGAGGCCCGTGAGAGGAAATGACATGCATAGGTCCACACAGCTAAAAGGGAAAACCACATCTCCTGTCTCTGTGCCCCAAGAACCCCAGACGCACACCCTCCAGGGATGCAGCCTTGGTAAAACACTGGCCGAAGACCCTCTTCCAGGCATCCTGTCCACCTCTGTCCTCTGAGTTTCTCCTCCTTCCGTGGTCCTCAGGGAGGGGGCAGATAGAGTTGGGGCTGGAAATAGACTCAGTCTGCCCTGGAGCCAAGAGAAGAGAGGAATGGCCTCTGACCTGAGTGGGGCAGGAGGAGAGGAAGACGTTCCCCCAGAAACCTGACAGCCAGATAGACAATCATCCTGCACCCCTGCTCTATGCTCTTTCTTTTCTTTTTTTTCTTTTTTTTTGTACCGGGGATTGAATTTAAGACCTTGCATGTGCAAGGCAGGCAGCTGAAGCACTGAGCTATATCCTTGGCCCCTACTCTGTGGTCTTGTCACAGCCAGGCTGGCACTGCCTCTCGACATCTGCATCGATACCTCCATCTTTCCCCTCTCCCTTTCCCTTACTCCTCAAGGCTCAGGCAGAGCTGAGCATGGTGGTGTAAACCTGTAATCCCAGCACCGTGGAAGTTGAGGCAGGAGGATTGAAAGTTTGAGTTAGTGTGGGCAATTTAGTGAGATTTTGTCTCAAAATAAAAAAAATAACAAAGGGGCTGGAGATACAGCTCAGTGTGAAGACCTTAGGTTTGATCCCCAGAAAAAGAAAAGATTCAGGAAGAAGGAACCATTTGGGAGTCATCCCAGTGGAGAACAGTGACTTTTAACAAGTCATTT